TGCCTGCAAAGCCTGTGTCCGAGAGGAGCCACAGGGCTGGGGAGCCCAGGCTGCTGGCCACCGCTGCACCGGCCTACAGCGGCCTGCTGTGACCTTTCACGGGCAGTCCCTCCCTCTGGGAACCCTGGCAGTGACTGTGGAGGAGCCCCGAGAGGGCCCAGCCCTTGCTCCAGAGCGCATCCTGTGTAGTGTGGAAAGGGCATCTTGCAGCACGGGCAGATCGCTTGGCGTTCCAGCGGGGCCCCGTGTGGCTCTGCCCTCCTCCTGTCTGGGTCGGTTCCACGCCCAGAACTCTCCATCAAGGACTCCTGAGTCATACATCTGCACTTGTCCCGTCTGGGCCATCTGCTAGCAGTGTGCCCTTGGGTGACTCAGCCTCACCGCGGCTGCATGAGATCGCAGGCGCGGGGCCCGGTGGGCAGGGACGAGGCCCTCCCTCCACGTCCTACAGAGGATGCTGGGTCCCTCACGGGCACTCCAGTGTCAACTTCTTCCCTTCCTCCCGTCAGGGTCTGAGCGGCTCTGTGTCTGACCTGGTAGCCCTCGTGGCAGGCTCTGTAGCATCCCAAGGTTCCCACCGGGTGGGCTGAGGACACAGAGGGCCACACGCCTCCCCTAGGGACGCCCAGCAGATTTTCACTTCTCTCAGGAAGAATTGGATTTCTGGGCCACTGAGGGCAGCCCAGAGGCCGAGCCGGGGGCTCTGTGTCCAGTTCACTGCCGAGTGAACTGGCTCTGTGCCTGCAACATTTCGGTTCTGTCTCAGAGTGTCGAGGTCCCTCCTGGGAACACAAGTGGAAAAGGGGCTTTTCCCAGCCCTTCCAGGAACAGGACAGAGGGCAGACCCGGCCCGGCCCAAGGCTGAACTGACGAAGGAACCTCCTGCGTCTCCCTGCCACAGCACATCCCCGTGGGCCCTGGGGGCGGAGTCCCAGCTGCGTGCAGAACCCTGCATCCTGGGCTGTGATGGAACGCCCATGACTGAGACAACACGTGCCCGCCGCCAGACAAGACAAGGAAGCACGGGATCACGGGAGCCGAGAGTTCTTCAAGGTTAACGGACGGCTCACCTGGCGGCTGGGCCTTTTCGTTGTGTAAATCCGATCGTGATAACAACACGTGTGAGCTCCCCCTGGCTCCGGGCCAGACAGCTCTGGGCGTCTCAGGTACAGGCCACTTGATCCCCACCACAACTCAGGGACTTGGGGACTCATCTTACACTGAGGCAGAGGGCATCTAAGAGCATCCCCGGGGCTGGCGTTGTGGTGTAGCGGGTTCAGCCACAGCCTGCAGTGCCAGCTGCCTGAAGGACAGCCAGCTCAGCTCAAACCCCAGTCCTTCCACTTCCAGTCCAGCTCCACGTGGACACACCTGGGAAAGCAGTGGACAGTCACACGTGGGAGACCCAGCTGGAGGCTCCTGGCTCCAGCTAGGCTCCCAGCCCTGGCTGCTACAGCCATCTGGGGAGAAAACCAGCACATGGGGCCTTGCTCCCCTCACACTTTTCCAGTCTTTAAATCTGTGGCTTTGAAAAAAACCTTTTTGTTTTGTTTTGTTTTTTTTTTTTTTTGCATCCATGCTATCCTTTGTGTGAGGATGACCTGCTGGTCTCCGAGCTCAGGGGGGAAGGGCAGCCCAGGGGGACCTGGAGGAGTGAGGGCAGGAACACAGCAGAGAAGGCAGGGCGAGGCTCCTTTGCACATGCAGGCTGCTCCCAAGGCCCTCTCTGTCCCTTCGGCCACTCTGTCCTCGGGCACCATCACACAGTGTGTAGCCTTCCCCAGCTCCTGGCACTCCACAGAGCAGTCTTGAGGTGAGTTCGTGCCCTGCACAGCCAGTCCCATTGTGGGACCCTGACACCGTGGTGTGTCCATCCAGTGACCTGCTCCTGGACACGAGGGTGGCCGCCACCTGTGTCAGCCCATGGGTGGGAGACCACGTGTGTGATCCCTTGGCCATCGGATCCTTTGTGCAGCCTCTGAAGGCTCGCCCAGCTGCTGTCCACAGCGCCCACCCCCACGGTCCCGCCTCCCTCCTGCGCCCCACTCTCCCCCTTCCTCACGCGTGTCAGCTCCCCGGACCCAGCGGTCGCTGCAGCTGGCATCCGTGTGCCTCTCCTGGGGAGCAACACTGCTTCAGGCCTTGGCCGGTCTCTAGGTTGGGTCTTCCTTTGCCACTTCTGTCCACTTTCCAGCTGTGCGTTGGTCCTCCATTGTGGAAAGACACAACACGTTAGCTACTTTATTTGAAACACGAGAAGCATGTGCTTTCTTCCTGGAAATCAGGCGGTTTGCCTTCTCTCTCTCCCCAGACCCTCACATACATCTCGCCCTTGAAATTCAGCTCCCAAACCATGTACTGGTCAGCCAGCCCAGGTCTCTTTCCTTCTGCCCCCACAGGGGCAGGGGTGGGAGAGCAGAGCCGGTGCTGGGGGGCAGCAGGTAAAGCTGGTCTGCCTAACCACACGGTGACGCTCCCGCCCCACCTCGGCCTCTGTCGGGAAGCCAGGCCTAGGCGGTCAGCGGCAGAGGAAGCCTCCTGGGCCCCAGTCCAGCCGTGTCACAAGACTGGAGGGCCCTGCCACGGGACGGACCTTCTGCTGCGTCTGCTGCAAAAGGGAGCGCCCAGGACGGCTCATGTTCTGTGGTGCTCTCTGTCCCAAACAGATGGCCTGGGCTAAACACGGATGGCTGTGCATGGCCACAGCCCCGCTCTGGGCCTGGGGTTGGATGCCACGGAGGGGCAGGCAGTGCCCATGCTTGCTGGTGCCTTCCAGGCTTGCTTTTGCTGGCAGTGGGGTTCCTGTCTGTACCCAGCTCTGCCGTAGCAGCCCCAGATACCCCGCAGCAGTACCCCCAGCCCTGCTGCAGGAATAACTTTTTCTGTCCCTTTTGTGGGGCTGAGGTAGGCTCTAACCTGAAACCCAGGACTCTCGATACCCTGGGGTGGGTGTCAGCAGCCAGAGGGAGGGACCAGGGCTGCGGGTGGACAGCAGGGACACGTGGTGGGGGCGGAGAGAGGGGGAGTTGGGCTCCTGCCTAGGCCTCCTCCAGGCCTCACCTCCCGCCCTGCCCCAAGCACCCTGCCATGGTGCCTGGGCTCCCAATCCCGCCACGCCTGGGTCTGGAGCTCTGGCACAGAGGGGGCTGGCGTCCTGGGCCTCCCAGGAGGGTGGTCTCTAAAGAAGGGGTGCTTCTGGCTGGGGATGGGGTGCTAGTCAGGCTGTAGGGGAGCAAACAACTTCACGCTGGGGTTGGCGGCTGCATCCTCCCCCGTCTTTCACACACAGGTCACGTGGGCCCCAGTCTGGTCCCAGAGCTGCTCAGGCCAGCAGCAGTTCCTCAACACTGTTACACCTCTCTGGCCTCCACCCCCCTGTTAAGAAACCCTGCCTCCTGCTAATGCTGTGTGACCTCGGGCAAGCCAACTGCTCTCTCTGAGCCTGTACTGGGTACTAACCACGGGGAGCCCCGGCCCTGTGCCTCCCCCTCCTGCTCTCCCTGTCCCTGGTTCCGGGCCACCAGCTGCTGCCAGGCCCTGCTTCTGGGGGCCGTGCCCAGCCTCGCCAGGGGATCAGGTTTCTGCTGACACTGTGCCAGGCACGTCTGCTTCCAGGAACCGGCAGCCGCATTTAGCCGCGGGCCGCGCATGAAAGGGCTGCAGTCGGAAACGTGACGTGTGTCCACGGGCGAGGCAGGTCAGCGCTGGGTGAGACCTCCCGGGTCCCCTGCCGCGCCCGTCTGCGCTGCTCCCACACCCCCCGCAGGAACCGGGCCCTGGGTCCCCAGGGGAGAGGTGCGGGGGTTGAGCTCCCCGCCCCCGCCACCCAGGGCTGGGAGCCGGGTCAAGGGCGCTGTGGTGGAAGCCAAGGGGGCAGAGCAACAGCTGCGAGGAGACCAGGGGCCGCGGCCAGGCCCGGCTCCCCAGGGGCACTCTGGGTTGACTGCGCCTGGAACCCTCGCGGCTTATTTTAGCTCAGGTGGCTCCAGCCACTTCCTCTGTCCCCGCGGCCCTCCTTGACTCGGCCTAGCAAGGAGCCTGGCCTCGATTTCAACACCAGCTTCTGTCACCAGCAGGAAGCTGACTTGTCTGGGCTTCGCCGAGGAAGTCTCACTGGAGAGGTCTGGCCGCTCCCCCCGCCACGCCGCAGGCGGCTGGAACGCATGGAGAAAGCACCGCTTAGGAAATGGGCCACCTGCCTGCCTCAGGGCCCAGCAGCCTGTTTCTGTCTGGTGGGAAGGAGGTGTGGGCAGGCCTGACACCCAGCACAGGGCACCACGCTGCCCTTGCATGCAGCCCACTGTTTGCTGGCCCCCAAGGACAGGGCAGGTGTAGGGATGCAGCAGTTCCCTGCAGGGAACCACTTCCTGCAGGGGCTCCAGACTCCCTGAGGGTTCTGGAAGCTAGAGACAGCACTGGGGAGGAGGGCTGCGGCAGGCAGGGCCAGGCTCGTGGCCGCAGCTCTGTCGGGTGCGTTCACCTGGGCAGCTGTGCTCTGCAGGTGAGGAGAGGCCTCAGGACGGGACTGGTCACTCCCTCTCGGCTCCCCTGGGAACGCCCGAGTTCATTCACGCTCACACGCACAGCCCCCCACAGACAGGAAGACCAGGAAGGATGCAGACAACAGTGATGGAATGCCGCCTGTGGCGACATCAGGACGGGAGGCGGCACTGGTCCTTGCCGAGCAGCCATGCCTGGATTCCGCTCTGCACGGCCCCTCACAGCTGGCGCCCCCTGTCCACCCCGTGTGACCCAGTCCCAGCTGCCCAGCCGGCGCTAACAACCCTAGCCCAACTCCCTGGGAGTCACAGGACAAGCGCAAACCCCAGGCATACACAAGTGCAGAAGAAAAACTAAACCGACATTGACCTAATTACCATGCCTATCCTTAGACCAACCAAGGCACGCAAGATGTTGCAGAAAATCATGGTCAAATCAACTGTGGCCCAGGATACCGCACGGCGAGCACATCAGTTCACCCAGAGATCACCCCTCTCTTCCACAGGAAAAGGATTGTTTTATTAAGTGTTTTTAAAGGACTTCTTAACATTTACGCGTAGATAAAAATATTTACATCTTCACACCTTTCGGAGGCTTCAAAACAAACACTGTACCTCTTCCGAGAGGAAAAAACCACTATTGTCTTCGAAAAACAGCAACATTCACTTTTCTTTCCTTGTAGATCAAGTAATTATAAACATCGGAGACTTTCCTCTTAAATGTTTATAGAATATATAACAGCTTTACAAATAAAGGCAACAACTGTATACCAAAATAAAAACAAGTTTGAACACGAGCGATCAGACCAAGCATACAGTGCATTCTGAGCAGCTGGTGGGGTGCTGGCTGGCCCAGTCACAACAGGTGCCCTGGCTCTAGCCACATCTCCAAGGGGGACAGGGTCCTCTTCGGCGGGAGGACCCTCCCTGTGCCACCAGCCCAAAAGGTGGTGCCATGCCAGGGCTTGGCTAAGCTAAGCTTGGTTATGAGGGGTTTAGGACAGACTGGGAACCTGGACCCAGCTCTGCTTCAAGGTAGCACTGTCATCGGGCCGTGTGCGCCAGGGCCACCTCTTGGGCCCTGTGTCAGTTCCCTGGGCAGCGAGAGCCAGCAGCGGTGCCCGGGTCCAGGGCTCCCCACCCATGCCCCTGAAGCTCAGCTGGTACGCAGGGGCAGCCCTGAGAACCCTGGCAGGCCAGCCTGAGTAGGTAGCTACATTCTGTGTGTTCATCTGAGGTGGGGCAGGCAACCACCCCAGACCACCACCAAGTGGTGCCAGTGTCTGCGACGTCACCCCGTGCAGTGCCAACGTTGGCGACCCCCTCCCTGCGGCAGCAGGAGTCGGGTCTGAGGTGTACAGCCGCCTGCTGAGTCACGTCAGCCGCGGGGGGGGGGGAGGGGGGGGAAGGGCGGGGTCCTGGGTGTGGGTTCGGGTGGAAGCCACGCTCTGGAAAGCCCTGTGCCAAGTACCTTGTCCTCTAGGCCAGCGACTGGGCTCCCAGGCCAGGGTGTGGCGCCCAGCACCAGCGGTGGGAGCTCCTGTGTGCAAGAGGGTGCTGCTTCACGCCCCCCCTCCCCTGGGGGCGAGAGCCCATCCCATCTGCCCTGTACCACAGGGTGCTTTCCTGTCCTGCACTCACACACAAGCACACACGTGTGCACACTCACCCTGGCTCCCCTCTATGCCCCGGAGGTGCCTGGCGACACTCCCCAAGACTGGACTGTGAGTTTTTGAAAGGAAGGCGGAAGGACAGCGAAGCGGCAGGTCCCACGTCCCCCCGCCGGGACTGGGGAACTCAGTCTTTGGTTTCCAAGTTTAAGGGTGGGATCTGCTTCAGGGCTTGCAGCAGGGCCGAAGAGTCGACCGCGGGGTGGGCTGGCAGGGGCGAGGGGAGTCTCTGAGGGAGCAGCAGGGGTGCCGGCAGCTTGTCGGGGTTCACGAAGCTGGAGAGGGCAGCGGCTGAGGCGTTGAGCCCAGGGTACAGCACGGGCACCGAGGTGGGGTACCAGCACTTCTCCAGCATGGGCAGGTAGGCGGTGGCCGACGGGGGGATCAGGTACAGGGGCAGGCAGAAGGGGGGCTGGTGCGGGTGCGGGCCCAGGAAGGGCGAGCCCAGGAGGTCCCCACTGCTGCCAAAGGGGCCCTCATCGTCCGAGAACTGCAGGCGGCTCTTTTTGGTGGGTGGCTCCTCACACTCCTGTTTGATGGCGCTGACCCTCTCCCCTGCAGCAAACCCACGTCCGTGGCGGCCGCCGCCTGCGTGGGGATGCACGCCTCGCCCGTCCATCTTCTCCGACTCGCCTCCGTAGCCGCTGTCTGTGTCTGTGTCACTGCCGCTCTGCTCGCCGCTCGAGGACGCGAATGTCCGCTGGATGACGGGGACACAGTTCTTTCCAGGGCCTTCGGAGCCAGGAGCCAGGGATGCCGGCTTCTCCTTGAAGTCCATGGCCTTGGTTGCTGGCTCGGCTGGCTTCCTGGGAGGCCCAGGCTGCAGCAGCTCAGAGACCACGCGATGCAGGTGGGCGACCAGCTGGGAGGACCTCAGGTCCCGGGCGTGCTCGTGGTTGGCCAGGTACTGCAGCACTTCCCGGGCGCAGGTCTGGAAGCCCGAACAGAACATCTCCTGGCCTGCTTCGACACTCCGCCCCGACAGCTCACCTGGGGAACACATTGGAAAGAAGCATGCTTCAGGAGGTGATGGGTGTGTGTGTGCGCACAGGCATTCAGGAAGGCAGCACCTCCTCAGACGCGCTCCCACCTGTGAGAGAACTGTGCTCTGAGAATCAGAAAAGCAAAAAGATCCACCCCGCCGCCAGTCATAGAACATGACTGCACTTCAGGGCATTTCCTGACGCACAGGAGGGTTCTGCTGCTCTTGCTGGCGTGCCCGGTAAGGCACGGGGAGGCCATCACTCCAGGGCCTTGCCAAGCCCGAGGGGTAGCGTGTGGCAGTCTCACCGGAGTAAATGCACGAAGACCAAGAAGCAACCTCTCCTGCAGCGCCTGAGACAGGTGCTGGCATGCCGCTGACCTTGAACTAGGCCTCTGGGCCTTTTCATGTCTTTTACTCACGTTGCCCCTTGAAAGCAGGCATATCACCCCTGCATTCTAAACAAGAACTACAGCCAGCAGCCCTCCCTGGGGTTGTGGGATTCCTGCCACCTTGGCCTTGCAGAGCAAGGCTGGGAGGTACACCAGAGTGGGGAGACTTCTCCCCAGTCCTTGGGGTTCTCTGGGAACAGCGGGGAGAACGCAAGGTGAGTGGTTTCTCTGAACTCCGTATAAACCAATCAGCACTGTGCAATTCCCCAAGACAACCTAGTGGCTGCTCCCGGAATCACACCAAACACGGTCTGGATTAGACCAAAAGGAAGCAAGCGACAAGGCAAACTCCAGCACTGTCCCTGCAACCCGGCCGAGCAGAGACCCAGGGGCACAGGGGGAAACACCCTCTGTGCAGGTCCCAAGGGCCCCGGTGTCTGCCCAGGCTGTGGGGAAGACTCCCAGAACTGGCCTCTGCAGCCAAAACACTCGACAGATTGCCGTCCGTGTCAGGTGGCACCGAGGCAGCCCCGGGGAAAGCCTGCAGTCCCAGGGAAGTCCAGGTGTGCATGCCCCTAGTGTCAGGTGGCGCGCCCTCGTCCTCCCCAGCCCACGCTGGTACTCACCAGCCTGGAAGCCGCTCTGCAGGGCCAGGATCTTCTGCTGCTGCTGCTCAATCAGGCTGGTCAGGGCTTTCACGTGCTTCAGGGTCAGCTCCAGCACCACCGCCTTCTCCAAGTGGCCCAGAGTCTACAACCCAGAGAGAGAGGGTGTTCAGGGAGACGGCACTCAAATCCTCCTCAGGCACCTTTCCGGGCAGCGAGGGGAGTTGAAGCAAAAGAACGGGAACCCATCCTGGGAGGGCTACGTGTAGTTTTACGGGCTTAGACCACGGTTTTACGGAGACAGGAACCACTCAGGCTCGTTCCACATCAGAGCAAGCAGCCGGAGGGGAAGCGGACCCGGTATTCCTGCAGCCAGCAGGCTTCCCCCACACCCCAGGACCCAGCTGAGCTTCTACCCGCTCCTCCTCCCAAGCAAAGGCTGCCGAGCCAAAAGGCTGCTGGCCACTGTCCACAAAGGACTGTCCACAGACAAGTCCCTTGATTTGAGGAAAAAAAATGAACTGCCAAGAAGGGAAATGAGGCTTAAATCTTCTCTCTTTTTCCGCGCCTGCAAGCCACCGGCAGAAAGTCTCCAACCCTAAAAAGTATGGCCGCCTGGGGTCCGGCCGGCCGTGGGGGGCTTCGAGGGCGCCTGGCCTGTCTGGGGGGCCCGGGGACGGCTGCCCCACTCCCCTCCCACCCCGACCGGCTGCGGGGAACCGGCTCGGGTCTGTAGTTCTCCGCGGGGCCTGCAGGCGGCGAGTGACCCCCGCTGCCCCGGGGCAGAGCGGCGGGGCTGGAGCGGCTCCAGCTGCGGGCTTACTGTAAGTTTGAGGTGTTCGGGCAGCAGGTCCTTGAGCTGCGCGATGCACTCATTAATCCGGTCACGTCTCTTCTTCTCAATGAGCCGGTGAGGCAGTTTGTAGGTCTCCTGCGAGGCGCACAGGTGACGGGCGGTGAGCTCCGGGCCGGGGGGATGCGCAGCCCTGGGCGCACGCACAGTCCCGCCGGGCGCACCAGCGGGGGTCTCCCTCCAAGGCAGCCTGCTGCTTCGTCCTCCCCAAGCAGCTCCGCAGCAGAACCGAGCCCACCCGCTCACCTCCCCAGAACTAGGAAAACTTTGCTTGGGAAGTCGGCGCACGCAAGAGACTGCAGCGGGGTCCCCGGGGTGCGCTCACCTTGCTGTCCTCTCCCCGCTTCAGTCCCCGCTTCGACCTGTACACCTGGTACATGTGGGCGAAATCCATCCTGCGCAGGGAGAGGGGCCGGGAAGGGGTGGTCAGGCCTCGGCGTGCCCTGGGGTTGCAGGCGCCCCCCGCGGGATGCGCGCCCGGGGAGTGCCCACTTACCCGGGGAGGTCTCCGGGCTCCAGCCCGGGCGCTTTGGGTAGGCAGGCAGGAGGCGGCTGCGCGCTGGGGATCCTCTCCATGGCGCGGCGAGCCGGGGCCACTGCGCGCTGCGGGCTGTCTGCGCCTAGCGGGGCGTCCGGCCGGGAGCGTCCCGGAGCTGGGCTCGAGGGGGCTCTGCGCAGGGTCTCGGCCGCGCCGCTTTCAGTTGGGGGCGTGCATGGCCCGGGTCTCCGGCTCGCGGCGCAGCCCCGCAGCGTGTGCTCCCCGTGCCGTCCGCGCCGAGTGAATGAGGAGCGGGGCGGGGTGGGGGGGCGAGGCGCGGAGTAGTGGAGCGGCTGCGGGCTGGGTTAAATGGGAGCGAGTGGGTGGGTTGGAGCTACGTGTTCCACCCTGTGACTCCAGGCACGTCTGGCCGCTGCCGGGGAGGGAAGGAGCGACCTGCCCGCCCTCCCCCGCCTCCATCACGTGAGTCTCACGAGTCGGCCGGCGCTCGGCGGCGGCCAGGGAGCCCCCTCCCCCGCGGCCCCCAGGTGTCTGCGGCTGCGGCCTCCTTTCCCCGAAGCGGGGGGCGGCGGCGTGGCGGGCTCCGGCCCCGGGGTGGGGGGCGCGCGAGGGGGGAGGGGCCGGCGACGTGGGCGAACCTGCCCCAGGGAAATGAAGTAAGTTCCCGTCTCCTGGGAGGGGCCGGGGGAGGACGGATCCGCCCGCGTCTGACTCAAGCCGGGAGAGGAATATCCCCTGTGCGCGCCGCGGCGGCCCGGCCCTCTTCCTCCTCCCCCGGCCGGCGCGCGGGGAGTCGCCCGGCCCCCTGCCCTCCCCCGCGGCCGGGCCCGCTTTCCGAGCCGCGTCCCTGCCCCCACGGCCAGGGCCCCTGCGTCCAGGAATCGCCCGCCTCGGGGAGGGACCGAGGGCGGGGCGGATGTCACCCCATGGGAAGCGGGCGGGCGGCCCGGCGCGGGGGCAGCCGAGGGCGCCGCCGAGCACGCCGCGCGCACCTGACCCGCCGGGCGTGGGCCCCGAGCGCGCCGCGGCCCCCTCGCCTCCCCGGGATCCCCGCTGCGGGCCCGGCCTGCGGGCGCCCCCGCGCCGCCGACCGAGCGCGGGAGGACACTGGGCGCCGTGCCCGCGTGCCCTGCCTCCGCGCGCCCGGGTCGCCTCCCCGCCGGCTGCGGCGTTACACAACCGCGGCGGCGCCGGCCCTGCGCCCAGGCCCTGGCGCTTCACGTGGCCCGGCCGCGCCCTGCGCTGGCTCGGGGGGCCCTGCCGGGACGCTGCGCCCGCGCGCCTGGGACCCCGGCCGCTTGGCCTGCAGCCCCTCACCCGTCGCACTGCGTGTCGCGGGGGCACGCTGTCTGGGGACCGGCGGGGCGGAGGGTGCGGGAGTGACCTCGGGACCACCGGTGGCAGGGAAAGGGGCCAGTCAAGCGAGGGAAGGTGTGGGTTGGTGTCTTCAATGCTGCCCTAGTCCCCTGCGCAGAGGAAGCGGCGTGCGTGCCGGTCGGGGGGAGCCGGGCGTCCGCTGCAGCCCGGGGGGCAGAAAGAGCGGCAGCTGCAACCCCACGGGGTGTGCTTTGCGGGGCCGGCGGGGGGACAGTCGCGGCCAACGCGCCAGCCGTTCCGCACGTGGACGGGTTGCCGCTGTCTGCCACCCTCGGCCGGTCGGGTTGCCGCCGGCGCTGTCCTCGATGACCTGGAGAAGCGGATTCACGCTTTGCTACGGCCCCCTCCCCGGAGCGTCGCGCGCTTCCTGCTGGTGGTCGCGGGGAGCTGGCGCTGCCGGGCACTTGCTCCCGGCGCCCAGCTCCCCTGGCCGGCGTGGGGGAACCGCCTGCGGCCGGTGCTGCGGGCTCCGGCGTGGAGGCAGGGGTTGCATCCCCGGCTGCGTGCCGCACGGGGTGGCCGCTCCGTGCCGTCCCGGCTGCTGCGCACCGGGGGCGGGGGAGCCTGGGGAGCGGAAGGTGCCCGCCCCCGTACGCGCCGGTCTAGGGTGACCACGTCCTTTGGCTCTCACCTGCCCTGCAGTTGGGAGGCCTGGATAATGCTCGCTGCTTTTCTGCTGCAAATGTGCTTCCAAGCTTTGACAACTAGCCCCATCCTACCCCACACTGTCGCATCCCAGTTTTAGAAAGACCTGTTCTCTCCATAGCTTAAAGCTATTTTGCAAATCAGTGTAAACAAAACATTTCCTGCCCTGTCACGTGTCTTTCCACCCGAGCTGTCATGGTACTTCCGTGCGGCGCCTTCTCCTGTGGACACACCTGCGTGGAGCTGAGCGCCTGCTGGTTTTCAGAGGGGAGCCCGAGGACTTCGGGTCCATCACATGCTCCTCAACCAGCTTCAATAAGGCGGCAGTTGGTGTTCGCTTCGCGGACCCGCCAAGTGCCAAGCTCCTGGAAGGTGATGCGGGGAGAGGCTTGTGTGGGTTGGGATGAATCCGGGGCCAGCCCCCAGCATCACTGGACAGCAGGACTGTCCCTGGCGGCCTGACTGGGGTGCACGGAATGGTCACTGCTCAGCCCCGAGGCCCAGGGGGAGCCGTTCCCATGGTCCCTAAGTGACCCCTGAGCGCTAGGCTGGGCGGTCCTGGCACACGTAATCCTTTCCTCTATTCTGCAGACCAGGGTGGGGACCGGTTGCTGCTACTGCCCGTCCCCAGTCCCCACCCCACCGCCCGTGACTCCCAGCCCTACCCGTGGAGCAGCTGGGAGGGACAGTACCCCAGGCATGTGTGCTGGCCTCCGGGCCTCTTGCTGCCTGTTGATGGGTTCTCCAACATTCTAATCCAGTCGGAAGCAGTTTTTGTCATGGCTTGGCACACACACACATGCTAAGACTATGAAACCTGGGGCAGCGGAGGCTTGGTGGGCTGCAGCCCTCCACTACCCTCCTCTCTCCTGTACCCCGAGGGACCTCCTGTCATTTTTAAAAGCAGCCAGATGACCCTGGAGAAGCCAGCCCAGTGTTTCCTCTGGCATATGAATTCCGGTATTTTCCCGTCTTCTGTATTGGACTGAAAGGAAACCATGAGGGCCGAGGCTGTTAGCGACGCCCCGGCTTGCTCCACACTAGCGATGAGCTGTGGTCCTTGTGCTGGTGGAGGGGATGGCTCGGTGTCGGTGTCGGTGTCGGTGTCGGTGTCGGTGTCGCTGTCCTGGAAGGCGTGTGGCTGTGTCTACCTTTGTTCCACACGCACAGCCACTCTGCTGCTGGTGAAAAGTAACTGTGCTTTATTGTTTTATTGCAGTAGAGACACGTAGTAAAACTCACAGATCCTAAATGTTTGTGTACATCTAAATAGCCACTACCCAAAGCAAGGTACAGAAATAAAAAATGTAAATGGCCTGGCAGCTGCCCATGAAAATATATTGGCGGGTAAAAGAAGACGATGAAAACTTCCCCCCAAACAGAGCCTCACGCGCAGGTGGCGTCTCTGGAGAAGGAAGAAACAGCTAGTGCCACGAGGCTCCAGCAGAGGGAACGTCCTGCAGTTCCTCCCGGGAGGCTGCTGGGGTGGGCCTCGGCCGGCCGCACCCCCACAGTCACTTCCTCATGGCCTTCACCTGGGTGAACCTGGCGGGTCCTGGGCTTTCCTGTGCACGCACGCAGGTACAGCACGGTTTATCTGGTCCCTGCTTGGTAGACGTTGGCGTGGTGTCTGGCTGTGATGGTTTATGATGGTTGTGATTGAACCTTGCTAATAACTTTTGGGTGCAGGTGTTACCGCCATGAATGTTGCAAGTGGAGCTCTTGGGTCACAGGTCGAGTGTGTGCTTAACGTCAAAGTCGATGTGGGTGAGCCCTGAGCCGTTCAGCATGCTCCTGGCCGTGAGTGGCAGGGGTGCTCACCCTCCCCAGGCTTTAGTGTAGCAAGAATGGGAAAAGAGCTAGGCTTTGCCAGGAGCATGAATGATCCAGGATGAGATCATTTTAATACACACGTCCCTGGTGACTAGGGAAGCTGAGCAGCGTTCCATGTGTTAGCTGGCCACTGGTACTTCGCCTTTCGTGAAATATTTGTCCAAATGTTTTGCTTGATTTTTAAACTGGATTGTTCGCTGCTTTTATTTATAGAAACACTCCCAACTTTGTTGGCTCAGGCAGCCTCACCTTTTTCTTGTGGAGTTGTTGGACTGACTTGCATATTCCATTTGCAAACCCTGTGACAGATGTAGGATTTCATGAAGGATGCCTTTTAATGAGTACAATTTTTAATTGAGATCAGTTCTGCTTTGTCTGTGGTTTCTTTGATAGCTTATATGTGTATATAACTTTTTCCAAGAAAAGTTTGACTCAAGTCATAAAGATATTTTATTGTGTTTTTTCCTTTAGACAATTGATAGATATTATTCTAGCATTTAGGTCTATAATCTGTTTTGAAATAGTTTTTGCTTATGCCTTGGAGGAAGACTGGAGATGCAGTGTTTCTTCCTCAGTTGTTGAAAATCGGCTGCCTTTGTGTGGCTCATGGTTTATGGTCCAGTGCCACCACTGTTCCTCCCTGACTGCTGGATTTTGTGCAAGTGGAGAAACTGGTTGGTGTAATTCTTCCAACTTTGTTCTTTCTGAAGCTTAATTTAGTTATTTTAGGGTCTTTGTGTTACCGTAAACATTTTAGATTCAACTTCTTTTTCTTTCTCCCGAGATGCTTGTAGATTTCAACAGGAATCAGGTTGAATCTGCCACTCAGGACAAGCGGAGGTTTAAACAAGAGTACCTGTTCCTGTTCGGAATATGGGGCGTCTTGCCCCTTGGTTCTGCTTCAGGAGGGTTGGTTTCTTACGAGAGTTTGTATACATATCTATTTTGTTGTTGTGTTTATCTCCAGCTCTTTGATTTTTTGAACCTAACTATACTAGTTCTTCATTATTCAGTTTATTGAGTGAATACAGAAATACAGAAAGGCGCGCGCGTGCGCGCACACACACACACACACACACACACACACACACATCTTCCATCTGCTGTTTATTCTCCACGTGCCCGTGTAGTTGGGCTAGACCTCGCTGCAGCCAGGCACCCCCAGTTTGGGGAGACCTCGCTGCAGCCAGGCACCCCCAGTTTGGGGAGACCTTGCTGCAGCCAGGCACCCCCAGCTTGGGGAGACCTCGCTGGGGCCAGGCACCCCCAGCTTGGGGAGACCTCGCTGCGGCCAGGCACCCCCAGCTTGGGGAGACCTCGCTGCGGCCAGGCACCCCCAGCTTGGGGAGACCTCACTGCAGCCAGGCACCCCCAGCTTGGGGAGACTAGGCGATGCAGCCTCACCTGCTGCTGGAAGCTGGGCGGGCAGTGAGGCAAGCAGGACATTACCCAGATGTGTCTGTCATGTCCTTTTCACTCTTAAACATAATTTTTCTTAATTCGTGCTTCTCTTTTTTCCTTGATTGTCTTGAC